CAGTAGCTGAGCTAGTGATACAATCTTGTAGGGAAGCATGAAGTAGCGTGTGTCCTTAGCAAGAAGTTTGTCCTTGGTAACTGGAAGGCAGTGCATGCTGTAGCAGGATTTTCTGGCTGATTGATCTGACAGGAGCACTACCTGTGCTTTTCTTTCCTGTTCCCTTACAGCCATCCCTTCCTGTCCTATATACACTTTCCAGTCAAGCTACTCATGAAGCAGTTCATCTCCTTTGCAGAATGTTGGTCTTTGATCCAGTAAGTATATTTCAAATATAGCTAATACCTTTTGTTTAAGAATATTGTGAGTAAAGAACTGCTTGAACCAATTTTCTAGATTGCATATTGGAACTTTTCTCTGTAAGGTATCACCTTACACTTGGCCAATTAATTTCCTCCTGAAACAACTCTGCTGGCCTTTTGCAGAAAGCTGTGGTAGTCAGGGGGATGAGGGTGTTCGTGAATCATGCTGTCTTTTCCTAGCTAGGTGTAGGTAGCAGAACACCAGATACTTTTATGTAGTTCTAATTAAAGATGTGTGGGTGTTTGTGGTCTTGCAAGGCGCAAAAAATTCCTTCTGCATACATAAATAATATGTGGATCTGGGTAATAGTCTCCTTTTTGATGGGATGACTTGATGGGACACTTGGATTAGGCACAAAAAAGTCACATTAATGTGAAAATAGGCTATAATTAAATCCCTTATTGTGAGCACCTTCTGCCCTGTTCTTCCTTCACCTTCACTTGCTTTCTGAAACTTGGCATATAAGATATTTCTAAGAACTCTGGAAGCATATGCCAAATTATTCCATCCTCAAGTAATGCTGGAATTTGTGTTTTACTTTAAATATGTACTTAGGGACACATGAAATCATTTTGCAGAACATGGATTTATGAAGTACTGTATTTGCTCACATTTAAATTCCTGGTGTTTATTTTGATTTATTGTGAAGGTCATCGCTTGAAGCTTATTGGGAAAAAGTAATTTTTGAAAAACAAATTTGTAAAAGTCACGTCAGCAGTATTTCTATCATTGGCCACATACAGAAAGGTCAGTGTCATCCTAGCAGTGGTGCTTTTTTAAGTGAAACGTTCCCCCTAGTGGCAGCGTGTTTGCAAAGCCAAAACCTGTAATAGGACTGGGGGTTTTATGGAACAGTTGGTTGAAATGGATGAGTAGGTTTTCCTAAGGCTGTTTCAGTAACTCTGAAAATATCCTGACTCTTTATTTTTTCTTTAAATGCAATGTTTCAGTCCAAAAGAATATCTGCTAAGGATGCCTTAGCTCACCCATACCTTGATGAAGGGCGGTTGCGATACCACACCTGTATGTGTAAATGCTGTTTTTCCACATCCACTGGAAGAGTTTATACTAGTGATTTTGAACCCATCACTAATCCCAAATTTGATGACACTTTTGAAAAGAACCTCAGTTCTGTTCGGCAGGTTAAAGGTGAGTCATCATCAGCCTTTGTGTATGCTTGTATCTTCCTGCTGCGTCCTTTAGCAGTGCACAGCTAGGACACCTGGCCCTACTTTGTTTTTTTTCCTTTAAGGTAATGTTCCAAGGTAAATACTGGAAATGCTTCCTTTTCACTAAAAGAATAAAAATGTTTCTGGTGGTTCTGATGTGCTGCAGTGTCGCACACACTAGCTGACATGTGGAGGTGTTGCTTTGACCCAGGCAGCTGCCTGCAGTGAAGTTGTTCCCTTTGCTGTTTGCTCTTTTTGAGGCTGTACCAGAGCAAAAATGGAAGTTGCCACCATTGTGGTTCCAGGTGCGAGATGTTCTCTTGATGGCTGTGCTGCAGAAGGGTCAGCACCAGCAATAAGTAACAGAAGCTCAGTGGTCTCAGTTCAGCTGCATTTCCTCTTAGCTTACTCTGAAGCAGCCGTGCCTGGTGTCTGTGCAGCAGCTGCTGCCATCTGTGCTGCTCTGGCAGCAAAGCAGAGGTGTGCTCAGGGTGCTGTTGTGAGGAAAACCCATCTCTGCCTGGAACAGAATCGTTTGGCAGTGGAACGTTGTGGCAGTGGAGATCTGAAGTCTGATTCCATGATGACCAACAAGCCATAAGAAACATTATTTCTCTGGAAATCAGATCCAGCCAGGAAAGCATTCATTTTATGGGAGCAATACAGTATGAGAGATACTAGTGGGGATTCTGTTTCTATTTGGTGGCAGCTCAAATAAGATACGAAGAGGACAGGGAGGAGAAATGCATTACCTCCACAGTTTTTAACAAATGATTCAACCATTCAGGAAAAAGACACCATTTTGCTGTGATAATGCGACTTGTTTTGGATATCTTGAACTTGGAATTCTGAAATTCACACTGATAGTTCCTAAGAGTTCACAAAAAAATTGTTTTATTTTTATCCCATTATTCCTTCCATTCCCTTTCTTTGTCCATCACTTTTCAGTGCTGCATGTAGCTCTGCTGTCTCCTCTGTCATCTGTTGTTGTAAATGCTGTTTTTAAAGCTTGCTGGCAGCAGCACAGGTACCACTGCAGCACAAATGTTAATCTCATGGCGTGGTGTGTCTTATTTTTCTCTTACATACAGAAATAATTCACCAGTTCATTTTGGAACAGCAGAAAGGAAACAGAGTACCTCTCTGCATCAACCCTCAGTCTGCTGCTTTTAAGAGCTTTATTAGGTAACTGTATGTAATCACATCTGATATTAATTCACATTTATTAGTAGTACAGAATTCACACATCCAGTGTTTTTATTTTGAATTTCTGAGGAGTCCATAGATAACTTCTGGAAAAAATCCCTTAAGTATATGTGTAGTTACGTTAAAAAATCATGTTATAGAGACGTAGATTTTATGCATACTTATAATACAAATGCCTAAAATTTAAGTAAAATGTGTAGAAGTTTCAAGTAATATCTTTGTAAAAAAAAAAAAAAAAAGTTATTGAAATTAGACTTGAAAAATTGATGGGTTAAATTCTGACTGCAAAAATGCACTGCAAAATGATGACGAGTGACAGCTGTAGGGAAAGAATCATTAAGGAAATACATAGATAACTGTGGTTCGGTACTTGGCGTTGGTGTTGCTAACTGCTGGGCTTGAGGCTGCTTTGTTTTCTTGCACTTTTGAGGGGAAGGGATGCTGAAATGTTTGCATACATGAAACATTTGCTTTCTGGTCAAGCATTAACTTTGTTGTCCATTAGGTTTTGCAAATGAACACTGATTTTCTGTGTCACTTCCATTCTAGTTCCACAGTTGCTCAACCCTCTGAGATGCCACCATCTCCACTGGTTTGGGAGTGAAGTGGAAGATAATGTACTACTGAAGATGTAATGTAGCTTTCCACTGGAGTCTGGGATTTGCAATTCTGGAGGTTAATCATGCTTGTACTGTAATTTTACTAATGAAGTTTTAAATTAACAACCACTACTTGTACAATATGAATAATATTTAGAAATGTACTAGACTTTTAATCTTGTAAAGTGGTTGTGCTTTTAGAAGAAAATATTTTACCCAGAGTTGCACGTGTTTTATGAATTATAGTGCAGCTGTGATGGCTCAGCTCGGAACAAACAGAATCGAACCAAATTTGGGGAGGATTTTTTTAATGAAGTGAGATTGTACGCAAAGACAGACATACATTTTGATATTGAGCCATTCCTGGAGATTTTGGGTTTTCTAAAACTAAGGAATACAGAAAACTTGACTGCGACCAATGATGAAGTCACGTTGGGTGGCAGTGACCACGGGAGGTGGCACCGCACCCGATGATCCAACCCTATAAATAGCTTCTCACTAGAGCTGTGATGGTGATGTGTGCTGTTCTAAAATCAGATGTTGTGAGTAGAGAGAATGAGTTTGTGACTAGGAGAGACTAAACTTCTGTTTCCTTACCCAGTATAAATATATATATATATTTAATCTATTTTTATTAGAAGTTTTTTCTGCTCTTTCTTACATAAAACCCCCCAGCATGCATCTTCTATGTGTGTAAATAATTCCATTTATGGGCTAATTTCAGAGATCCCTGACATCATTGCTGTATAGAGAGAAACTAGCTTGCACATTCTAGGTCTGTGAAATTTTGTGAGAACTTTTTCCTGCACTGGACAGTTGAGAGAGAGAAGAAAAAAAAAAGAAAAGGAAAAAAAAGCACATAGGGAGTTACGTTAATTGTGTTCGTGTCTTTAGGCAAAGCTGTGGAAGTCTTGAGATGTCACAGTAGTAAATAACTTTTATTACTTTTTGGCGAATTCTTTTTCTGTTGGAACACTGAATTCTGTGCATATGTATATATGAACACAAATTGAAGGCCTCTACCTCCTGGAGTATACAACTTGGTTTGTTTACCTCCACATGATTTTTTTTTTTTAAGTTCAGTGTGGAGACTTGAAACTTGAATGTCCCTTCCAACTTTTGTATTTAAAACAAGACTAGAAAATTGAAGACTGTTTTTCACCTGTACAAAGAAATATTAAAGGGTGGTCTTAAAATTTGAGCATTGGTCTGGAGAAAAACCGTGGTGTTTGTTATGGACAATTAACTGTTAAAGTTATTGTAAGTTATCTGTATTTAGCAGAGTATTTTCAACAAGGGTGATCTGAGCTGAAATTGGAAACTATCAGTAAGTTATGTTCGGAAGTTTTAACTTCAATGAAGTAATTATTTGCTGTGAAAGAGACAAACGTTGAATTCCTGAACAAAGATGGTGCAATATCTTTGTTTTTTGTGAGGCTCCTGAGAATAGAACCAACTGAAGCATTTCAATTCACTTGAATGAGAAACGTGTGTAATTAGGAGAGCCCGAGAAGACACTGGTATGAAAGGTAAAATCTCAGAGGTTGGTCAGTTATGTGGCACACTTGCTGGTCACTTTGTAAAATGTAGATTTGAAGTACAGTGGTGAAAACATTAAATGTGACATTTGAAAAAGAAGCGCGCTATCTTCGTTTCCTGTCTCGCCTCCCCCTCACTTAAGCCCCAGCTGTGAGGATCGCGCTTACGGCCGTCCGAGGCGACGCCAGCGAAAAGGCCTCGCGGCGCCTCGCCTCGGCCGCCGCCTCCTTGCAGGCGCGCGGTGGGCGGGGCCGAGGGCCGGAGCCGCTGCCATGGCGCGGGCGCTGCGCTGCCTGGAGGCCGCCTTCGCGCTCTACTTCGTCTCGCACGTCCCCATCACGCTGCTGCTCGACCTGCAGGCGCTGCTGCCCGCCGGGCTGCACCCGCAGCAAGTGAGGGCCGGGCGGGTGCCGCCGGGTGCCGCCGACCCCGCGGTTCGGTCTCCGTACGTAGCGGGCGATGCGGCGGGCGCGGCGGATCCGCTGCGGCGGCCCTTAAGCGAAATGACGCCGAACGGCGGCGCCGCGCTTCGAGTCCGCGCGTCGTGCGGGAACGGGGGCGGCGCCGGGCGGTGCGGGGAGCCGGGCGGGTGGTGCGCGGCTCCGGCGGCAGCGTCCGCAATGAGACCCGGGAGGGCGGCCGGCTTAGCGAGACCGGCGGAAGGAGGGCGGGAATGGAGAGCTCGGCTCTGGCCGCCGGGCTGAGATCCGGCGCTGGGCTTTGCGTCTGACGAGCGCGTTTTCTGCCGCCTGCAAAACCGTTCCATTAGGGAGGCCATTTTTAATTAATAGTTAACTTGCAAATCTCAACGCGTATCTCTGTTCAAAGTCCAGCTTGCAGCCGTGCTGGAATTTACATTTCTGTCACGGAAACTCATTGCAACTCGCTAAGCTGAAATCGCGTTTCTCGCTGCAATGCCGGCTCCATCCCCGCGGCACGCAGAGGCTCGCTCTGCCGCTCTGCAGGCGGTGCTCGGTCCGTTAATGCGCGGTTTCGCTGTTTCTCCGCAGCTGACGGAGCTGCTGCACTGGTACGCCACCGCCTTCCGGGACCCCCTGATGCTGCACCCCCCGGAGTGGTTCAAGGCATTCGTATATTGCGAAGCCTTCTTACAGCTGCCATTCTTTCCCGTCGCAGCCTACGCCTTCTTAAAAGGTTGGTATGAGCGACGTGTGAGAACGCGTCCTGTGCAGCGTTTCTGCACGGCACGTTCTGTACAGAGGTGGTTTATCTATCAGCCCTGAGCAGCGAAGGGTCACAGCACAGAGTGCTGTTTTCATGGTGAGTTTTGCCTGAGAACGCAGCATAGAGTGAGCCCGGTCAGAAATTGAAATGGTGACTCGTGCACCCTCTTCAGCTGCGCTCACTTATGTGTAACCAGCATCAGTGACCGACACCTGGTAAGCTCCAGCATTGATGAAGCTCTGGGTTAAGCTGTGCACTTATTTTATCGCTTTAAAACCCTGAACAATCGCAGCATCGTTCCAAGTTTCCACAAAGCTGGATTATTCCATGGGTTGCTATAAGCTCTACATTTCTGCTACCTGTGATGCCTTATGGCTCCTGCTGTGATAGACACACAGCTGATGTTCTGTTAATTTATTCTGTTTGATTCCAACTGCCTGATTATTGCCTCCTTGCTGCTTCTACCCAGGTGGCTGCAAATGGATAAGGACTCCTGCAATTATATACTCCACCCATGTAGCTACAACGTTGTTTGCTATCCTGGCTCACATCCTGTTCCATGATTTCTCAACGTCAGAGCATCCGGGTCCTCAGACACTGCGTGAGCGCCTCATTCTGTTATCTGTATATGCACCATACTTGCTGATACCACTTCTGATTCTTTTTACCATGCTGTATAGCCCTCAGTACAACCAGGTGGAGAAAAGGAAAAGGAAGTAGTCTGTAAAAGGTGTAAGCACAACTTCCCCATTAGTTTTGATCCAGACCCCAGTCCTCTGTGACAAACACAAGCAGTGATGCTGGCTGCAGTTCCTATTACCAAAGCGTCAGATTCCTGCAAGGAAAGTTTGAATTGCTTTTGTTCACAGCCTTTCCATCAGAAATAGGTTTGGCAGAAGCCTGTGTTGGCAGTTCCAGGTGGTACCTGGGTATTTGTAGCTTAAGGGACCCAGCAGTTCCCTTCCCATTGTTAATTTTGTCTGGTACTTCTGTGTTAGGACAATGAACTTCCAACCATTAAATGCATAACCGTGTGATGGAGGCTGGAAACTGCAGCCCATTCTTTTCCTTCAACTTTCCTTTCTCCAAGGTTACTTCAGGTTGAAATTTGTCTTCCAATAACATATTCTACAAAATCCTTAACTGATTACATACAAATTTGCAAAGCTAAAATCTTTTTCTCAGCTACTTTTGAAGCATTTCATATCATGTAACAATCCTTAACTTCCTCATCTTTTCATCTAAATTTTCACCTTATTTTCCTCTGCTCCAATTTTGATTACTTGCAAATGCCTGGTCAGTGATAAATGTGCCAAAATCTGGATTTCTGAATGCTTTCTTTTGTTTGGCAATTCCTCCTGGACTTCTTCAAAAACTGCAGTAGCTGTAAACAAGGATTTGTAAACTTTTCTCTTCCATGAAATAACTTCTAGTGTGGAAATAAATAACTGCATCCAAATTGCATTTAATTTCTGAAATGAATAATTAAAACCAACAAAATCTATGGGAACTTAGGTAAAGAAAAATAATTGTGTTATACTTTGAAGTCATAGAAAATAAAACCAACTGCTGGTAGACTTTCTTTTCCTCAGTTTGATCTGTAAGAATAAAACATGAAGACTTGTGTAAAATGATAGGCCACTGAGCTGGCTTTTTCTGTCGCTGCCTTATTATTTTAGGACTTTACTGGTGTATAATTTAAACCTTCCACAAGCTTTAAAAAGGCAACATTTTCATATTTGGTTGCCTAAGGACAGACATAAAATGCATCTATTGCCATTCCAACACAAGCCTTGATTTTAGACCACAGGCATTCAGTTTCAGGGAGTCACAAACTTACAAGCTTCCCAGTAACCCAACGGAAGAAACTAATTCTGATATATCCAAGAAGGTGAAAAACAATAGTTTATTTCCTTATTTCTTTGAAAGAGCTGCACATTTCAAAAAGTGAGAGGCATTAGCATAGGAACAGTAGTATTAATTCAACTACAATTTGAATTTGAACTACTGACTGTACAAAGCTTTTATAAAAATCAAAGGACAGAACAGTCTTACATCTGTTAGAAAGCCCTCCTTATTGCCACTTTTAGTGTAATTCACACTGCATTAAAATACACTTTTATTTGCACAAACCATCTATATTCATTCGTACACAGTGAAAAATTGCATATTTCTGGAATTCTCAAGATTCTGGAATGCTCACATTTCCAAGTTAGCCTTTATCTTAAAGTCTTCTATTTCTGAAAAATGAATTGGTCAATGAATTCGTTCTGGTCCGCTTCAATTTTACACAGAGTCTCATATTCTATTCGGTATCTGAAAGACAAAGAAAATAGGTTACCAGCTGATGACTTAGTACAGTGCTCACTGGTCTGAGAAGGAAGCCTATGCTATGTGTGTGTCCTTTTTAAAGCAAGTTACATGAATTAGACTTTGCAGTTCTACAATGCCTTTAAAAGTCTACCTGGCACTGTTACAGTTTTAATTTCCACAACTGCCTGATCTCACATCACCTCTATTCAGTTAGCCACAAAGCTATTAGAAATGATCCTTCTCAGAAAGTGGCTGTTTCTCATATGCTACACGGCTTCCTTTTCCAACCATTACATCAGCGCCCCAAAAGTATTTAATAGAAAGCTCACCTTTCTAGTTGCATCTTTTTCTCAGCTATTAAAGCCTGAAGTTGCTGTTCCTGTGCTTCTCTTTGCTTTGCTATAGACTTCAGCAAATTCCGTGCACCAATGGCCTGTCAAAACAGACGTTTGGTGATGGAGCCATACAGGGAATTTTTAATCCCTTTCACTACCAGCAGGTCACGATTAGAACGTTTCAGCCATGCTAACAGCAAAAGGGGTACCGTCCTGCCGAATGGGCTGTGGAGCAAGCACAAACCCTGTAGAAGCTGGGCAGATTAAGGCATTTGAGGCTTCCTTCCAACCTGAGACATTCCTAACAGCCTGAAATAAAAGTCACCAGCTTCTTTGGAAATGCAGCCTGACCCCTGGTGACTGGCTACCAACAGACAGGCTCCGGAATTTCTCCCACAGAACAAATAAGGAAAAAGCAATCAGCAACAATTGTGCTGAAAATTCATTTCCAATTCCATAATAAAGTGAGAAAATAAAGAACGCTTGGTGACATGCAGAAGTACGCATTTCAGAGGTAGTTACGGAGGTTTTTATTGGATAGCCCTCTCCTCCTCACAGAGCCCATCGTGTCTCTTGAGAACTACACCCTGCTAGGACAAGGTGTGACTGGAGAGATGTTTTCTCTCCACGAGCAAGCGGAGCAAGACAGATAAGCGACAGCAGAGGGTTGTTAAATGCAGGAGATGTACGGCACTGAGTGCTCAAAATATCCCAGCTGTTAGGATCAGTTATGCAGAGCCTCGTGCTCCCACAGTGCATGCACGTGGGGCCGCAGAAATGCCCCTAAGACGCTGACAGGGCCGCCGCGCTGTGACAGAACGGGACGGGAGGCTTTTCACACACACACAGCGCGGGGCGCCAGACAAGACAGCCCGTAACGGCACGGTACCTTCATCTTCTCGCTCTCAGCAGCTTTGGCCAGCTGGTCAACGAGCTCGATTAAGCTACCCACTGTTTTTTGAAATTCTACTATTTCTGAAAAGAAAAACAGTCACGTAGCACCCAAAACACCGCGGGAGACGAACGCTGCCACAGCGACAGCGAGGCGCCGCTCTGCCCCCGGGCCGCGCAGTGCGCACGCGCGTTCGGGGCCGTCAGCGCCGCGCAGATGGCAGCGGAGCGCCCCTCGGCCCGGCGCGCAGCACTCACTGTCCACGAAGGCCTTGCACTCCTCGCGGAGCTGCGCCGTTTGCTGGGCCACGTCAGGATCGAGGACGCGCAGCTTGTTCAGCTCATCGAAGTGCAGCCCCGCCGAGCCCAGCGCCGCCTGCGCCATCGCCCGGCGGGACGGGACGGGACGGGACCTACCGCCCCTAACGGCTGCCACAGCGGCCCAAGGGAAGCACTTCCGGGCCGCGGCGCGCGTCAGGAAGCACTTCCGGGCCGCGGGGCGCGTCAGGAAGCACTTCCGGGCCGCGGCGCGCGTAAGGAAGCACTTCCGGGCCGCGGCGCGCGTAAGGAAGCACTTCCGGGCTGCGGCGGGGCGCGCAGGAAGTGAGGTGCTCTGCGGGCCGCGGCGGTGGGGCGGCTGCAGGCGGTGAGCGAGCGCCGGGGCCGGGCACCGTCGGGTTGCGGACGCGGAGCTCCGGGCCGCCGCGTTTGGCCCGAGGCGCTGCTGTGGCCTGGGACGCGCGCCGCCCGACGCCCCGCATCACCGGGCCTGGCGCTGCCCGGACGGGGCCGGAGCGGCCCGCACAGCCGGTACGGGCAGCTGAAGGGCCGCGGCGGAGCGGGGCGGAGCGCGCGTCTGGGCACGAGCGGTTCTGCTCGGGGCGCTCGGCGCGCAGTTCTCGTTTTCTTCTGGTTGCTTTCTCCGCTTTGTGCGTCTTTTTTCCTTTGTTTTTTCTTTCCTTGTTTTCTTCGCTTGAGCTGTTACCGCCGCTCCGTTTCGTGGCGGCGCTGAGCAGGGCGCTCCCTCAGCGGCCGTGCCGTTGTTGTGCAGCCCTCCGGCGGAAGGAAGACACGGGGAACGCTTTATCTTGCGTTAACGGGGGTAATTAAAGGTTCCGTCGTTGTTTATTGCGGAAGCCTCCTACGTGAGCCCTTAACACGGCCTCAGTGACGGCTTTGTCTCCTGCTTGGTCGCGCTCTGCGTTGGATTCTAACGACGCGCCAGACGTGAGGCAACCAGCAGAAGTTGTTCACGCTAGTGCGCGTGTCTAGAGAGATTGCTGTTGAGGTTGGAAAGCTCCACGCACGCCCAGAGCTGTGGCTCATTACAGACTCTGGCTGTCCTTAAAAACAGACTTTTATTTTGGAGGAAGGGTTCTTGTTGTCTAAAGTGAGACAGGACATTGAGGACAAACCTGCAGACCTGAGTCGTGTTTCTGTTTTCACCAGAGATTTTAGGTGAAGGACAGTGTGCCATTGCTTGTACTTCTGGTTGACTTCTGTGTGTGATAATATAACCCATGGTTAATAAGAAGTAACTTTGTTACTGGCAACATATTCAATGGATTCCTCTGTTACCCTTAGCTGCTTTATTTGAGTAATTAACTTCTCATAGAACACAACTGTAATAAGAAATTTTTAGTTGCTGTTGCTTGGTTACTGGTGGGGAATTACTCTTCTGGCCAATATCGTGCTGGCTTTTTAACTGAGACAGATATTCCAAAGACTGGACATTTGTTAGGCTTACCTGTCCTCAACAACAGCAGTAAAAGCTACGTTACCTTTCCTGTTGATTTTTCTAGGAGTGAGGGGAAAAAATTGAATAAAAGGAGTTTCCAGGAAATAGAATGTAATGTTCCAGCACTTCAGTACCAAGTCATTTGAAGAAGTTGCAGCTGCTATAAGAGTATCGCGTTAAAACATTTTTTTAATGTAATCCCCAGATGAAAGAATTGGAAAAAAACTCTTCTGTTCTGTTTGTTTCCTTCCTGCAGGCAAAAAAGTTATGTTCTTTCAGGAAGTTGAAAGGGAGCTGAATTCCATCTAGCACTTAACCTTGGGCTGCAGTGCTGTATGTTGATTGTAGTGTTGGCTGAAGGCTGAATAACAGGAAGTCCAGAAGAGTTCAGCTTGCCTCACTCACAGTAATGCAGTTATAATATGACTGTGTGATGCTGAACAGCTTCTGTATTGCTGTGTAAGTTTGAAAATACGCCTAAATTTTGTGTTGTCCGAACGCGTAGATGTGTCCTTAGGAATATACTGAATTTGTCTCTTCATTGTGGGCTTCGTGGCTTTGTGTCTTTGTGAAAATTCTAGGCTTCTGTGTTGATCTTAAACATTTCCATTTCAAGAGTCTGGAGGCTATGACCATTTTTGCCTTCCCATCTTCTTCTAGTGCTTCGTGACTCATCGCCAACCACGGCGGGATCCATCAAGCCCACGCTCTGCAGGGTTGTCATCTACCTACAGAAAGAGATGTCGGGGGACACGTGTCTGACCACCACCCTTTGCCCAGCTGTGGGACCCAAGCCTAAAACTTGTAGCTTCAAAGTCGGCAGCCTTGGTAACAAGTATGTGCGACTGAATGTTGGGGGCTCCTTGTATTACACTACAGTTCAAGTCCTGACCAGGCACGACACAATGTTGAAGGCCATGTTCAGTGGTAGAATGGAAGTTCTCACAGATAAGGAAGGTAAGTGAGCATCTTTTGTTGTTGAGAATATTGTAAAGTAACTGCTGGGGTATTTTTTGTTTGTTTTTAGAATATATTAAAGCTGTGCTCAGTGAAAGGCATGGAGAAAGCTGTATTCCAAAAATAACGGGGAACATTATGCTGCCAAATCCCATTGGCTCTACCAGTCCTCTGTGCTTTATATAAATGTGTATTTTTGTTACTAAAATGAACAGTGGAAGGACTGGTTCTCTTTCCTGCAGTCACAGTTGGTATGCAGATCGTTGATGTTTTTATGAAGACTGAACAGACAGTATGTGGGCTGTCATATCTATGGAGTTATGTAATGGCATTAATCAAAATGTCTTTAGGGAGGGGAGATTCAGTTTTCAGTTTTAAAACTCAACTCAGCCTCAATTGCTGAGCTGAGTATTTTCAGGTAGGCTGAATCCTGTTGAACGTCACGTAAGACTAAATCTATTTGGCCCAGCAGTTCTGTGTAAGAGCCTCTACCAGAATGGAGGACAAGATTTGTCTTCAGGCAGCCTTAGGTGGAGAATCTGGCAGTATTTTAACCCTCTTTCCTATGCCACCTTATATACCTAGGTCCTAAAATGAAATAACTTTTTATTTTTGTCTGCCTTCCACCTTGTGAACAATGATTGGGCACTTTATTAAGCCCTATGTCTGTGTGTGTCCTTTGCTATTGTTTGCCCGTAAGTCAGATATCCTGTTTCCTAGTGAATGTGACTGCAGGAAGTTCCAGAATTGCAAAAACTGTCTACTGCTGTTTCTTGTGCTGTATCCCCTCCTCTACTCCTTCCTGATCATCCTTGTCCTGTTTCTTCCTCCTGTTTGGAGGCTGGAACAGCATTTTTTCCTCACTGGGTCTGTCCTTTTAAATAGATATAAACTGGTGACTTCCTGTAGTAATTAAAAAGGCTTATTACTTTAACTGAAACGTAATACAGAAACAATGAAGCACAGAAAATAACTTTGGTACAGTGGTACAATGAGTGATCATTAGATACAGTGCAGTCAGGTTCTTGCTGCAGTTTTTTAAATGTCCAGTGATAGGAAGCTTAAGGCTTCTCTTCTGGGGTGCTGGAAAGTGGTGAGAATACAGACAAGGTTCCAAGGGAGTGGTTCCACTGTTAGTTTCTGTTCTGTAACAAATACTAATTTGTTGAAAGTCAGTCAAGTCTTCCCCCTGAATGGAACTGGAAGAACATTGTGTAGTATCAGGCAACAGTTGGCTTAGTGAACCTCTCTGAGGAGGGTTGGTGGTGGTTTTTTTTTTTTTTTTTTGCCTCCTAGTGCCAAGGTCATTGAAATGTTGTCATTATTTTTCAGGCTGGATCCTTATAGACCGTTGTGGGAAGCACTTTGGAACCATTTTAAACTATCTCCGAGATGACACAATTGCACTTCCAAAACACAGACAGGAGATCAAAGAGTTGATGGCAGAAGCCAAGTATTATCTCATTCAGGGCTTAGTTGATATGTGCCAAGCAGCTCTGCAGGTAAGAAATGGAAATACCAAAGTAACATAGCCAAAATTAGACAGCACTTTAAGATCTTGTCCAGTCCATTTATCAAATCCATGGTTTTCCTTGTTCTGTATGCATACCTAACATTCTGCAGTGCTTTGAATAGAGATAAAATTTGGTTTATGATCTCCCTGGAGGTTCTCAGACCTATGTGGTGTCAAAGCACAGCCTTCCAGACTTCTTATGCCTGAGCTCATTTTCAAATTTTTGAAAATGTCGAAAAAGTTATTACATTTGAATTTTAATGGTTAAAAAAACCTGGCATGGTAAGCACTATTGATTTTAAGGACTTTTCTATAATTTTATTGCTATACATTGCAAATATGTAAACCTTAGTTAGCATTATTAATTCACCCAGTTCCTATGGGTTCAAGTTCAGCTGATTTAAATCAGCTTGTTTGGTAAGCTTTTTAATGAGGCTAGCCCAGATACTTTATATATGATTAGTAATATTTCTTGTAGGACAAAATTGAATACTTAACAAATACCTCATGCACTAGGCTTAATACGCTTCTTATATTCACTGAAAAAAAAAAAAACCCATAAAGGTACACTGACAGTTCTCTTCCTGGTTTGGAATTCAAAACACCTCTTCTAAAAACAAAATGTTCCAAGGCTTTCCTATTAGCTATTGAGCTCTTTTTAATTTGCTACGCAAGGAATCTGGATTCACAGACTGTACCACACACTCTTGATTGCTGCTTTTGTATCGCAAGGGGCTAAAGTCCATTTTGGTGACGTACTGTTCTTGCCAAATGTTCAGTTCATAATGACTGATATTCTTCTATACTTAGTCTTTTGATTTGATTAAAACTCATACTATCCTTTTCTTCAAAAAAGGACAGAATAATAAACCCACTTAAAGCAGATATGACTTGAGCTCAGAGTCTTTGCTATAGCTAAGAAGGACGTTCACCTGCATCCCAGTATTTCAATTATCGCTGCCTTCTGGGAATAAGAAATCTCTCTGCTGTATTTCTGGGTTGCAGATCAAGGTAATGCTCTGTGGTTGCTATAGCAACACAGAGCTTTTCCATTGCATCACAGGGTTTGGAAACATGGCTGGAGGGTCTGGAAGAGCAAGCAGCAGCAGATGTTAGTTTTAGCATTTATGTCTCTTGAGGTTTATTTCCATTTCTTCTCCTTTTTTTTCAAAACAGGACAAGAAAGACTTGTATGAACCTGTCTGTAACATCCCTATTATTACATCTCCTAAAGAAGAAGAAAGACTGATAGAATCTTCAATAAAAGTAACTGCTTTTCTCCATCTATTCAGTGAGAAACTGAATTTTTGCTAAATGTATTCAAAGACAAAGCTTAATTATTTTTTTTCCCCCTTCTGTTAGCCCGTTGTTAAGCTGCTGTATAATAGAAGCAACAACAAATATTCTTACACCAGGTATGTCATCAAGTATTTCCCCCACTGGGAAAGTTTAACTTTGGGGGCGGAGGAAAGTGTGGTACAGCCTAACTTGTATTTTGTTATTTAGCTTACAACAGTGCTGTAATGTGGATCTGAGTAAAGTTATTTTTGGTCGATATGAATACAAATATAGTTTGTCACCTCCTCCAAACTTCCTGAAATGCTGTGCTGGAGGTGTGTGCCTGAGAAAGATGAACAGATAAGGGACGAGAAATATGAATGATGAGGCTACTGACTGAAACAGAATAGAAGGCAAACTATTAACAGAGTCTTAGCTTCTTGGTGCAAAGCCAATGCAGCCATGATTCCTTCCTCCTCAGTTTTTCACTCTGTTTACCCTGACCTACAGAAATTCTTGATGTTCTGTCTCTTCCAGTGACTCTAGATGAATTAATTATTTCGCTACAAAGGAAAGAATCTGTTCTGCTCAGGAACAACCCTGACAGGGCCAGTGCAAGAATTCACTAGTTTTTCATTTAGCTTTATGGTTTAACTATCAGGATCCATTCATTATGATGCTATCAGAATTGCTCTGGATTTTCCCAAGCCAGTCACTGAAGTGATGTGAGTAATCCTTTATGCTAGGCAGAATTCTCAGTTTTAGCCTTTTGTCTAACATGCAGTCTTGGAAGTTTTTTCTCTAGGCAAACTGACTGTCTTTCTGTCAGAGAGATGGATTCTAACAATCATGAAATTTCACGTAGTCGGGAAAAACTACCTGAGGGAGTGCTGAAGAGCAGCCCATTTTTCAGCAAACTGCATTTTGTATCTGCCAGTCACTCTGCACTCCTCCTGGTGTTATCCGTTAGTTTATGGCAGTGATGCTAAAGCAAGTGCAGAATAGCATATTAGTCATCATGGCTCTGGAAATGTAAACATGCTAGCAATGAGAGCAACAGAATCCTAGATACCAGAAGGTGCTGGTATCTCAACTAGCTGTAGGATTCTAATTATTCCTTGCACACAAATCTTCATGCCTTGATGGTGTTTAAATGAGGAATCTTTATTTAAAATTCCGTGCTGGCTAGTAGCAACCAAAGGCTATTTCCTTCTCTTATTCCTAATCAACATTATGAAAGGAGTTCTAGTTACGTAGTCATTGTGGTCATGTTTATCAGAAATGGATGAAGACTTCTAAATTCTTTTTGCAGCTCTGCATTTGATAATGCCTGGGATTTGTTACTGGCTGAGTCCCAAATTGATTTCATCACACGATATTTTAAGCGCTGAAGGTTTTGTTGGGTTGCACATCATGCTTTTTTGATTTAGATCTGAACAGAAGTACATCTTGGACTAAATATTTTATGTGAAGCCTAGTTGGTTGTTCTTAGCAGCAGTGTCTTGATTAACAATATTCACAGCCTTCTGGGACTACTTCCAAAAATTAAGGTACTGCATACAAGTATAATTTCATTCCTCTGGGTAGGTTCATGGCAGCAAAGTGCAAACCTTCAGCTTTTGGGTCCACTGAGTAAGGAATTTTACTGTTAAAGCTGGTGAGGTTAGTTTTGTTGTTGTGTCAGTAATGTGCTCGCTATCTTCCACATATCTGCACACAATTTCCTAGCCAGCTATAAAATGAGATAAAAACGTGCACAGAGTACAAGCTTTAGATAGAGTGGCATTCAAGTTAATATCAGAAGAATAATGCTTTTAAGTTGTACTTTTTTTAATTTCAAATTGGATATTTGTTGGTCATCATGTTTTTATTTAAAGAATATTTTAAATTTTAAGACTAATTCTGATGGTTCTACTTGATTTTAAAACTATGATATGATACTTATTTTTTTCTCCAGAATACTTATATCTTGCTTGGAAAATTAATCAAAATCCTAAATTGTACTGCCTGTCAGTAAAACATAATTTACAAAATAGTGTATCCACCCTAGAAATTTGTATGAAGTATGGCTAGTTTTACATGCAGAACACCATCATGTTGCCTGCATTAGAAATAGTGTGGCCAGCAGGAGCAGGGAGGTGATCATCCCCTGTACTCAGCACTGGTGAGGCCGCACCTCGAGTGCTGTGTTCAGTTCAGTCCCTCACTGCAGGAAAGACATTGAGGCCCTGGAGCGTGTCCAGAGAAGGGCAACGAAACTGGTGAGGGATCTGGAACACAAGTCTTATGAGGAGCGGCTGAGGGAGCTGGGATTGTTCAGTCTGGAGAAGAGGAGGCTCAGGGGAG